AGACAGGAAATGTGGCTATTCCAACGAGACGCTGCCCCACGTCCTGTGCAGCTGCAAACCCCACTCCAGAGCCTGGCAGCTACGCCACAACGCCATCCAGAACCGCCTGGTGAAAACCATTGCACCACACCTGGGGGAGATCTCCGTGAACTGCGCCATCCCCGGTACCAACAGCCAGCTACAACCTGATGTCGTCGTCACCGACGAGGCCCAGAAAAAGATCATCCTCGTCGACGTCACGATCTTCTTTGAGAACAGGACCCCGGTATTTTGTGAAGCCCGAGATCGTAAGCTGGAAAAGTACGCCCTCCTGGCCGACACTCTGAGAGTGAAGGGCTACGAGGTGCAGATGGACGTCCTGATCATCAGAGCCCTGGGTGCCTGGGACCCCTGCAACGAGCGTGTGCTGCGGACCTGCAGGATTTGTCAACGCTATGCATGGCTCATGCGGCGCCTCATGGTCTCAGACACCATCCGATGGTCCAGGGACATCTACATCAGGCACATCACTGGCCACTGACAGTACCAGGAGGCGTGAGCCAGAGTGACATCGTTCTTCGACTACAAGAAAGGGACCAAGAGACTTTCTCCACTGGATCATATGAACTGGAACCATAAACTCCCTGAACATTAAATCTCACCAAATGAGAGTCAATCCATCCTCATCATCATATCCACTCATTATACTCCACACCCGAACATAGCCACTTTATGAACTTCTGTACTTTGCCCCATCAACCTTTTACCCCCAGTCGGGGATATTGCAGATTATGTATTCCTTATGCCACCCAATCTTAAACCAAACTTTGCACCCTCTATAATCTGTGTGTTATTCCCTGATAACCAGAAACTTCTATGCTTAAACTCTGTACCGTTCACTTTTTTTTAATCATCATCTTAATAAAATCTTTAAATCTGAAAAAATGCAGTATCCTCACCCACACGGCTTGCCAGGCAAGTAAAGAAGAATCTGGTATGGTTTACACACTTGTTTTGAGTTGCATCTGTTTATTATTTTAAGTCCAAATATATTTTATTAAGAATTTAGGAATATAACTTTTTAAAAACTTATCTTTTCACTTATCCCAAGAAACCACATTCCTACACAGTTTTTATGTGGTGTTCAATCATACGAAGTATCAAAGTGCTGTGGAGGGAGCGGTAGCATAGAGAATACTTTACAGAACTTTGTACAGTAATTCCCATAAGTGCAGAGAGGGGGAAAATAGCATACAAAGGATGAAGTCAAGGGAAGGGACTGTGAAGGAGAGAAAAGGCCGATACGATATCGGTCTGTTTCTTGGTGCAAGAGAGTACTTTGGTCACAACATTCTGAATTCCCTGAAGGATTGAGGAAAATTGTAAAATAGACAATTACAATAGGAGAGATTGTGATTAAAACATGGATAAAGGTTTCAGCAAAGGCAGGGTCAAAGTAAGGTCAAATACTGGCAATATTCTAGAGATTGCAGTAGGCAGAATTAAACATAAGAAAGACATCTGAAGAAGGAAAACATAGGTCTGAGGTCAAGAACGAGTCCAAGATTTTTGGCCTTGGGAGTAATGTGAATGTCTGACTTCAGGAGTGCGAGTCAGATATGACAAAGAAGTCTTTTTACCCAGGAGGACTTCAGGCTTTGAAACACTCAGCATTTGGAAGTTATGGTGTAGCCAAGCATTGACAGAGTCAAGACAGCAGATAGACAGGTGACAGAAGGATCAGAGAGAGTCATTACTGCTCCCATTCCAAAGAGAAGTGACACAGATTGCTAAATTTTCCATAACGGCCCCAAATTAACCATTCCAACAGAAGAAGTCAAAGCCAGGACGTCTGCTTTTGCAACACTAACTCTATGACATCATTAAATGCCTGATACTAGGGTATTTTAGGACAAGGCAGCAAAACACTAAGGTGCTATGGTTAAAAGATGTAGAAACAACACCCAACTTTATGAATAGACAGTTAAGTACATAAGAATGGCCATACTGAGTCAAATAGTCCATCTAGCCCAGTATCCTGTCTTCTGACAGTGGCTAGGGCCAGATCCTTCAGACGGAATGAACAGAACAGGGCAATTATCACGTGATCCATTCCAACATCCAGTCCCAGCTTCTGGCAGACAGATGTTTAGGGGCACCCAGAGCATGGGGTTGCATCCCTGACTATATTGGCTAATAACCATTGGTGGACCTATCCTCCCTGAACTTACCTAATTCTTTTTTGAACCCAGTTATACTTTTGGCCATCACAACACCATCTGAAAATGAGTTCCGCATATAAAGTGTGCATTGACAGTTGTTATAAATGATCTTGTGCAACTACAAAAAACAAACAAACAGAAAAAACCAATGATCTCAAAATTTGACCTCCAGTCTACCAATAAGTGTCTTACACATAAAGACACCACTATCACATTGTACTGTAATAAGAAAACTGATGGTCAATTTTCACAGATTAATTTAATATTATGCTGACACTAAGGTCATCTGAGTATTTTATACAAACAAAATATTGGTTTTAAGGGCTGTCTTCTTAATCCCGCTATGACTTTATTTTTGTGTATTTAAAGGGCATTCATATTAGGCAGCTTATGTCTCTCTTCAATGTGCGGTTTCTTTAACTATGGGGAGCTGGCTTAGGGTATGTTTACACTGATGCTCAGAGAGTGCTTCCCAGCACGGATAGACAGACTCGTGCTAGCTCTTCTCGAGCTAGCTAAAAATACCCACTGACCAGCAGCTCAGGCTAGCTGAGTACAAAACTGCTCTGACCCCCCGATACACACCCAGGTGGCTAGACTGAGCCGGTGCTCAGGCTACACTGCTATTTTTAGCATGCTCGCTAACACAAATCCATCTACCCAATCTGGGAAGAATGATCTCAGCTGCAGTGTAGACATACCTTTAGATTGAAGGAGACGAGGTAAAATTTATTTTTAGTTCTTATGTGTATATATGTATGTGTTATATATTAGGTTATATATATTAGGGCTGTCGATTAATCGCAGTTAACTCACGTGATTAACTCAAAAAATTAATCGCAGTTTTAATAACACTGTTAAACAATAGAATACCAATTAAAATTTATTAAATATTTTTGATGTTTTTCTACATTTTCAAATATATCAATTTCAATTATAACACAGAATACAAAGTGTACACTGATCACTTTGTATTATTTTTATTACAAATATTTGCACTGTAAAAATGATAAACAAAAGAAATAGTATTTTTCAATTCACCTCATACAAGTACTGTAGTACGGTCTCTTTATCATGCAAGTGCAACTTACAAATATAGATTTTTTTGTTATATAACTGCACTCAAACACATAACAATGTGAAGCTTTAGAGCCTACAAGTCCACTCAGTCCTATTTCTTGTTCAGCCAGTCGCTAAGAGAAACAAGTACATAGATTTATTTGTGTGTCTGTAGTAAAATAAAATTAAAAATCAATATACAGTCACTGTCTTCCACTGAGCTTAGAACTGCAACAGGATAATTACACAGAGACTCTGAAGCCACCACCAAAATTTTCTAAAGATACCTTCATGGACGAACAGTGAAAACACTGTGTTCTATATAAGGAAGGGAAGAGTAGTATTAGCAAAGAGCTCAAAAAGCTTTTTACTCCCTTTCAAGCTCTTGCTTCACTCACCTTCTGTTTGACTAGAGCTCCAATAGTGAAACGAACACTAGGGCAGTTGCCCCAGTCCCATAAAATACTTAGAACCAGCATCTGTTTTCCAATTAACCCCATCATCGTTAAACGTTCTGCAGCATCCAGTTACAACATATAACAACATTCCAAAAACAATCTAAGGCTTGGTCTACATACAGTTTTTGTACCAATATAATTATGTCAGGGTGTGGGATTTTTTTTATCAAAATAGGTATACCTGTACAACCGTTAGTGTGGACGCAATAATAGTAGTACGAAGGTACCTTATATCAGCATAGCTTGTTCTCCTTCCCATACTAAGAATAGCTATACTGGTAAAAAGCACCTTTATACCAATATAACTGTATTCGCACTAGTGGGAATGGTACCGCTTTGACTATACTAGTATAACTGAAGTGGTACAACTTTTGTGCATAGTAGACAAGACCTTACTGTAAGACTTTCTGAAGTGGCAAAAAAAGTTACTAAATGTACACATTAATGACATGAGAAGTGAAACATTTGCCTTCAATGATAAAAAAGCTTGTCAAAATTCTTCCCTCTCCCTGTATCTCCCTTGCCAAAATGTTCCACACAGAGTAGTTCTTCATGAATTTACTCTATCTCTAGGTATTAACTTGTGGTTCATACTTGTTGAAGTCATTTCTTATGAGATCTGTGTCCCAAAAGGCCTCTTTTGGGGAAGAGAAGGGGGGCGGGGGGGAGGAAGAGAGCTGATGCAGATAGTTGTGCTCATTTCAGATTAACTGCAATTGTTACAGACTTACCTGGAAGACTAATGTGTAATTCCACAATGTCATCATCTGCTAGAAAGATGTAGGATAATCTTGTCTAAGCAGATACTGGAGACAGTGCAAGCAGGATGGAAAAACTTAAGAACATTTATACCTGGCATTGCACATTGACCCCATCAGTCCCCCCAAGACCTTCTAGCACACATCTCCTTCAACTGCTGGTGCCAAGAAGTTAAAAGGTCTGCAGGTATACTGTAATCAATTAAAAGTCAGGAAGCAGAGCACAAATGCTAATAGGTTTCTGGCTCAAAATGAATGAAATAAGTCTTATTTCAACAGATCTCCTCTAGTAAAGGTGACACAAATACAAGCATTTATTCCTAATAAAATAATTCTCCTGTGAGCTACAAAGTAGGCACTTCAATGTGTGTCATACTAACATAAAGTAACACTGCCATGTGTACTGAGTACCTAAAAAATCCTTGCCCTTCTGCCAAAATCAAGGTCTATAAACAAAAATGTCAGAATATATGTTATATTAATGATGACACAAGTGAATTGCAGAAGTAAAAGCAAATGCTTACCTTGGGCTGGGTCAGGTGGGCCAAACTCTAGAGAGTATCGGAGAATGAAGTTGTTGTTCCACACATACAGGTGGTTATCTCTTGGGTTGTAATCCACTGCTGCGATGTACTGGTACTGGTTGGGGAAGGGAATTTCTACATATTCTCCTCTGCTTAACCTGGTGTTGTAAATGTAATCAATTGCATTCTTGCCAGTTTCACTTTCGTTGTCTTGATACACTGATCGGACTACATAGAGGACTCCACATATCATAAAAGCATTGGATGCTGCCCGTTTGTCATATGTGGTTTCCCATGTTGCTTCAAAGCGAAGAGTATATGGATTCAATTGGCTAATAACTATCATTCCATTGTTTTGTTCCGTTGCATAAATTACCCATAAACCATTTTCATCAACTGCTAAATCAATATCAGTCTTTCCTCCCCATCTGTATGGAGAAGTGTCATGGTAGTTAGCATAATTGATAATGGCCTCTCCACTTTTAATTCTAGTCCTCAAGTCAAACTTTACAATGTTCCTGGTTCTTTCTTTGTTAAAAAATACAGCACCATCATAGACCACAAATCCAGTGCCATCCACTCTATTTGGAAGTTTGTAAGTTGTCTGTTGGCGTCCATTTTGGAAGTCCTCTAAAGAAGCATATTCTATCAAAGTATCAGTGCGATATGGAGTCCATGGCATGAAGTATATTTTATCTGCAGCCTGGAGAGGATCTTTGCACCAAGCACCTGCCTTTTGTTCAGCTTCATATAAAGACGGTGAGTCCACAATTGCTTTCAACGTCCCCGGGCAAACAAAAACTAACAGTCACAGAGAGAAGTAAGACAAGAATTATGTCAAATTAAAACATTCATGCAACCAAACAGACTAGGTAAGTCATAATGACTGTGTCAGGAAGAAAAGATTCATTTAATTTTATAATAATTGCAATTATCACTCTTTATCATCCACTTTTCTTAAAGTTACCATGTTCTTATTGTACCGGTATGTAAAGTGGATGGGAACTGTTTTCACTAGTACAGACCAAGGCTCAATAGCACACATGTACATCTAAAAATGTAGAGCTACTCTTGCAATTTCACTACTCTTAGACTTTAGTGAATACAGCATTTAGGCTCCAGAGCTTTTAACGGGTGTGTAGTAGTGCGGTAGGTCATTTCAGTAAAAAAATCACATCAAATTGTTTAGAACTTTAAGAAGTGGTGAGGCTGAAAAAGGAGGTGCCTCGATTAAAAATAAAGAAACAAAACAAACCATCAGGTATATAGAGAAAGCAATTAGGAGCAGAGAAAACAAAACACAACCAAAGCAATGAATGAAACAGACCAGGAAACCCTGTAACCAAGGCATGCTATGGAGTGGGTTCTGGAAGCCAGGCAAGATGACATTTTATTAACAGGAAAGTACCCAAGGATGAGAGAAAGAGAGGGAAAGAGAGAAAGCAAGGGAATCTCCCCTCCAGCCCCAAGTTTTTCAGACACTATATCCCACCACCTACTTTAAGCAACCAAGTCTCTTTACTGCAAACAGTCGACTTCTTTATGAGGTGTACTTATGAGATCCTGCTGATTATCATAATATCAGAGTGTTGTGGGTAGGGGAAGGGAGGAGGTTAACATCCATAAGGCACATAACAAGGAGCTGGGGTTTGGACTGTATACGTTATTTACCTTTTTGCTCCACTTCTATTTTAAGCATCGGAAGAAAAATAAAAAAGTGCAAGGAAAAAAGAAAGAAGATTAACATAAATTGACTATTAATCTAAGATTAAATTAGTAACAGATGCTAAATATAGGGAGAATAAGAACTGCACTATATAGGATAAAGAGAAACAGACAACAGGAAAACCTAGCAGGAGAAAGATTCTAAAGTTACATAAGTGAACATGGATCAATCATTTTAGTAGATTAAGGAGGCAACACCGATATGTTGGCATGTAGTTTCACTTAGTGAACCTGAATAAATAATGAATGACTTCACTAATGCATGATATACATACCCTTCCCAAATGCAATGTATATTCCTATCAAGTTGTTTTTTTAAAATGAAATATTAATATATATTATACACAGGTAGGGATGTGTGGGCGTGTGTATGAGCGCATGTGTGGGCGCATGCTTATAATCCCTAGGTCAGTGTTCTGTTTTTCTTTCTTGTAAGTGAAGTGGCTCATTGCCTTTAGTTTTCCTTGGGGTTCCCCCTCCCTCCCCAGAATGTTAATCTTGAGAATACTGTAACTTCTCAGTCTAGAACTGCAAAATCAGAGTAAAAGGAACAAGCGAAAATATCTAGAAGGAAGAAGCAAAAGCACAGTAAGCAAGAAGAAAAGAGAAGAAAAAAATTAACATTTAGCTCATTCAGGCATTCTCCAGCATCATCGACTAAGCCCGAAACAGCAAGCTAGTATGTAAAGACAATCATACGAAGCATTGAAAACAAATACCATCTCCACCACCACACACACCATTAAAGGAAAGTGCTTCATAAAACAAACCTGATTAGCAGAGTTGTTACATTACTGAAGCAATTCTTTCCCAAAGAAGTTTAAAGGAATAGATTATGTAGTTACATGAAGGGTGTTACAACCAAAATCTAACCAGTAAATAGCCTCCCAATAATTACTAGCCATAAAAACCAGTTCACACTGTCAGTGGGACTTTTGAAGTATGTTCCTTCAGTTTCAATAAATGACCTGGACAATGCCAGTTGTACCACTCCTTTATAACAGTATCTGTTGATACCAAAGAAGCGTATGAAAACTACCTGTACAGCTATTACACCTTCAGTATAATGGTATTATCTAGGAAACATATTTCTTTCTTCCACAAAAGGTTGTGGATTTTTGGTTTCATTTAACAACATTACCTGTGTTATTATGTGAGAACAGCACTGACTGAACCCATCTAATATTTCTTCAGGGGACAATTTAGAAACTTTTTTTTTGGTTAATGTTTTTGAAATGAATGGTATTTTTCCTAGCCTTGTTCATTTATATATCTTCAGATAACACACTTATTTTCCTGCTATTTGTAGTTATGGACTTATCAAAGTAAACAGAACAGAATTTCTAGGTTGCGACAATTCTGATAGTGACTTTCAGATGATTCCATCTGTGAACTATGATGCATAAGCTTATTCCTCAGCAAAGAGCAATATTGTACCTGCTTAGAATCAGTAATAGTAGGGCAGTTGTGAAAAGACACGGATAACAAAAATCATTAATGGCATGTCTGCTCTGAGTACATTTGTGTACAGCTGTACGCTTTTCAGGGACAGATGGGCTTACTGAAGTAAACAAATGCTTCAAAGTCCAATCAATAGAGAGAGAAAATAAAACACTTTTAAAATGTTTTCCATTGAATTCCTGAGTCCAAATAAGGCTTAAAATAAAATTTCATGCACAGATGTAGAAAGTAGTGCTTCTGATTTGCTTATTAATCCTACAAGGGCTGACTTCTGTTATTCAATCAAAGTATCAACATATATTGTGCAGCATAATTGAGAGAAATGTCAAGTAGGGCACTCTCAATTTCTCTGTAATTCAATCAATAACACTCTAATTTTAGGACAAAGCAATGCATATCAAATTTGTTTAGAATTCCATTTTTAATGGCAATTCACCTGGGCATCCCAAAAGATCATTTTTATTGAAGAGGATTAGAAAAATATCAGCAATAGATATGAATTTTGAGAGGCAAACAAAATAAGTTTCTCATAAAGGATTTTGTTATGAGGACCATGAACACAGAACCCAGGGAGCTCTAGCAATATGCATGGTCAGCAAGGTAGCTATGTATTTATGAAGGCCAGCAAGACATGGAAAAGCTAGTATGCTACACACTATACAAGGGTGAGACATTAAATTCTATGTGTGAGAGAGAGCTATAACTTTTACCACAAAATCTCACAGTTTACTCTTTCATGGACAGAATGGAAGTAACCATGAGATTTCATAGCTTTTTTAAAAAAAAAACAAAATCTTGTGATAATTAAAGATTTGGGGGGTGAAGGGATAGGGAAAAGAGACAGTTCAGAAAATTAGAACAGGAATAAGAACTTTTTTTGGTTTTAGGTTTGAAATGTAGGATCAGCAATCTCTTCCCTCACCTAGACCTCCAAAAGGCCTAGACGACCTTTCTGAAATCCTTCCTAGGGGACCTAACATGAGTCCAACTCTTATGTTGGGTCAACTGCAATTTGCAAACCTTGGGATTTCAGGCATGCTACATGCCAGCACTGTGTTTTTAAGTGCCACAAAGGGCCCAGAGTACTGAAGATTCATATAGAGCAGTCACACACAGCCCAGTAGGGAGAGAACACTAGAACTGATAAATGCATTTTTGTTGGGAATCAGAGAGAAGTAGTTTTGGAAATATAGGGATAGATGTTGGGAAGTAGTAAGAGGGAAGAGAAAAAATGGGAAGGGATAGTGAGACATCACAAGGTTAAGATAAGCATTTGAATGGTAAAGCTTATCTGGACTGATTCATCAAAGCTTCTGGGGGTTGCCAATAGGATAATTCCTGTGACAACGTTGTAACTACTCCTGGTGTCACCACTGGGCAAGCTGCAGTTACAACTTCCTAATCTTCACTTTGGAAAAAATATATATCTATATCTATATCCAGAGTCCAGAGTTACACTAACACAGAATAATTCACGGGGGGCGTCAATGGAATTAAACAAAGCAAACATTTTAAGGAATAGAACGGCTACAAGTTAGAGATCAGCGTAGGCTGCGTTGTGGCACTATACTTCTGATAACTGAAAAAGAAAAAGTCCCTGTAGATAGGAATACCCAATCAGAAGAATATCCACACGTCTCCCTAAAACAGCATAGAAAATTGTTTTAAAGTTTGATAATATTTGCATAATACTTTTCTCTATAGATTGGGCTACTGGAACTGGCTCCACGGAAAAATAACCTCTCGGATTTTGATTGACCTCATGCTTTGGAATAAGATGCACTGCCCTTTTTCTAGGAATTTGGGAACAGAAATTGTGCTAAAGTAAAAGTGACTTTAATTAAACAAAATAATATTGGTTAGATCAGGATAAAACATAACTCCTCAAAAGTGGGACAAGAAGAAAGGTTACAACGGGTCACCAATATTACACACGGGAGGAACAGTACCAAGGAGTAGTGTATAAAGTAGGCGTCCAACCTACAAAAGGTATAGAAAAAAATCATAAAGCATCCATTTCACAACGACACAGCAATACACAGCAGGGATGAAAACAGGTGGTGATTTGTGTTTGGCCTTTAACGGATGCTGAATAAAGCTAATGTAGTGAAGCAATATAGAGCACTGTTTTGATTTAAGAAGTTTGCATTTCAAAATAATGTGCAAAAACCAATATGGACAGTTTTGACATGGCTTTACTTATGCCAGAACTCATTCCCTTGTGTTTCCAATGTGTATCTTCTGCTACTTGAGAGTTTTTTGCATCTGAGACAAGCTTTGTTTCCTGTCCAAATGAAAGTTTTGGTTTGAGATCAAGAACATTAACCTTAACAACTGGAACAATTTATGGATCAATCACTGTATTGCTAAACTTCACACTGTAAGCATGGCCATTTCTCTGCTTGATTAAAGGAAGAGGGAGAAGTCACTCCAAAAAGTGACCTTAAGAGGAAATGAAAACAGTAGGGAGTGTTGAATTAGTAGAACTTTTAAAAACTCAAACACTCTTCAGTTTAAAAAAACAATTTTAATTATAATTTTAAATACTACTGAATTCTGGCATTAGAAAGGACATTGTGCAAAACTGCTGTAGTGCCACGGACTACTGATTTTTCATTCTGAGTATTACATTTTAAAATATTCTTTTTGAAAGATTATTTCCAGTCATAAAACAGATTGTTTTATTTATGTTAAAGATGAATGTCTATTTCTTTTTCCTATGTGATACTAAGAGATATTTTATCAATTTAATGATAAATTATTAATTTTGAATTCATGTGCACGTGTGAATGTGCTCCTGAACCTGAAAGCACAAAGCTTTCTTTCAAAATTTAGTAATAATAACTGAGACACTTGCCTCTGATACCTCTGTAGTGGGTTCTGTCATGCACCCAAAGTAACCACACAGCAGGTAGCCTTTCAAGTTGATAATGATTAAAATTGAAGTCAATTCCTTCTTTAGAAAACTGTGAGCCAAACCAATTTGTCAGCAACTGGTACTGGGCAAAAGAACAAATTTCTATCTAGCCTACTGAATAGCTAATTCAAGTTTGTTTCTTGAAAAACAGTAGCCTTAAAAGCCAAACACTTAAGAACACAGACAGACACTTGGCCAGCATCACACTATGGCTTCCTTCCACACTTCGTGAAGCTAATTGGAGGCCCTAGTCTGTAAGTGCTCTGCATGCATAATGGTTCTGTAGGCCATAAACATATGCTTCTTTTGCATGTAATAGCGCTCCAGCATTAAGTGTGAAGGCTGGAGGAAGTGAACAAGAACAAAAAAAGTTTGTACTTACTGTAAGGAACACATTCATACTGAACTTCAAGATATTTGTACGTTCCAGGACAAGGATCAGGAAACACATCTGACCCAGTAACTACTATACACTGTGTTCGGTTGTTGCACCTGTAAGTGGAACAAGAAGTAAGCTAATTAATTTAAAACGAGATTTTAGTTTGCAAGTTTATACCAAAATAGTGTAATACAGAGCAGACTCCTTTCATACTTGGGCAATCCAATCAATAAGGAAACAGAAATAATTAATATCAGATCAGTTAACATCCATAAATAAAGTTTCAAGATAATATTTCAGTTCAAGCTTCATACCCTTAGATCTGGGAGTCAATGTTACTCCAAATATTAACTCCACCCCTTTGATTGAGGTAACTACCCCATTGGCTCCATACTGATACTCAATGAAGCACGTAATAAATCAATAGGGAGCACTGTTTTGATGTGAGATGTTTGCATATTAAAATAACATGAAATAATCAATATGAATAGTTTTGATGTTGCTTTGCTTATGCCAGAACCAATTCCCTTGCTCTTTAGATATGTACATGCTGCTGAATGTTTGTTTTCTGTACCGAAAGAGAGCTGTGATTTTGTTTTGAGGGGTTACTACAGATCAAGAACATGAACTTTCACACTCATGGAAGTTTAATGAACAATCAGTATATTACTAAACTTCCCATTGCAAACATGGCTATTTCTCTGTTGGATTATAGGAAGTAGGAGAAGTCACTGCAAAGAATGACCTGATAAGGATATTTTAAAATAACAGTTAAAACTGCTGAATCATCAGAGAGTTGTTTAAACTGAAATAACCTCCAAGAAAAAAAAAAGCTCTTTATTAAAACAGTTAACAGATCACTTTAGAAACCTACTGAATTGTGCCATTAGATAGAACTTTGCACAAAAGCTTTCGTGGTAGACAGGAACAACTGCTTTTTAAATTATTTTGTACAAAAAATAGTAATGGTTAAAACTGGTAACTGTTTTAGACTGTTGTTCAGATTTAAAAATATAGAAGAAATATTAGGTTGGCATTTGAAAGGCAACATCATCAGATAGCTTCACCAGAGCTATGCAAAACTTAAGGTGTTTTTCTTTATTTTCTTAAGTGTCCTATGAAAAGAAACAGGAAAGTAAAAGGTCAGATAGTTTGGTGTCTAAAAAGAAAAGAGCTTGGCTCATCTTCTCATGGGTGAGTTTTGTTTATTAGCAAACTGAATAAAGAACATAAGAAAGGCAATACTGGGTCAGACCAAAGATCCATCTAGTCCAGTATTCTGTCTACCGACAGTGGCCAATGCCAGGTGCCCCAGAGGGAGTGAACCTAACAGGTAATGCTCAAGTGATCTCTCTCCTCCCATCCATCTCCACCTTCTGACAAACAGAGGCTAGGGACACCATTCCTTACCCATCCCGGCTAATAGCCATTAATGGACTTAACCTCCATGAATTTATATAATTCTCTTTTAAATCCTGTTATAGCCCTAGCCTTCACAACCTCATCAGGCAAGGAGTTCCACATGTTGACTGTGCGCTGTGTGAAGCAGAACTTCCTTTTGTTTTAAACCTGCTGCCCAATAATTTCATTTGGTGGCCTCTAGTTCTTATGGGAACAAGAACATAACTTTTCCTTATTCACTTTCTCCACACCACTCATGATTTTATATACCTCTATCATATCCCCCCTTGGTCTCCTCTTTTCCAAACTGAAAAGTCCTAGCCTCTTTAATCTCTCCTCATATGGGACCCATTCCAAACCCCTAATAATTTTAGTTGCCCTTCTCTGAACCTTTTCTAATGTCAGTATATCTTTTTTTGAGATAAGGAGACCACATTTGTATGCAGTATTCAAGATGTGGGTGTACCGTGGATTTATATAAGGGCAATAAGATATTTTCCGTCTTATTCTCTATCCCTTTTTGAATGATTCCTAACATCCAGTTTGCTTTTTTGACTGCCGCTGCACACTCCATGGATGTCTTCAGAGAACTATCCACGATGAATCCAAGATCTCTTTCCTGATTAGTTGTAGCTAAATTAGCCCCCATCATATCGTATGTTATTTTTTCCAATGTGCATTACTTTACATTTATCCACATTAAATTTCATTTGCCAGTTTGTTGCCAGAAAGCCAGAACTTAAAATAATAGTCTAGCCTTTGACTCCAGCTGTATATCAACTTCTCTATTACTATGAGTTCCCACACTCCTGAATACGAGGTTGCAAGCTAAGGTAATCCATCTTGTGTCAATGCTTTTCCACAGCTATCCACTACAAACAGGTGTGAGATCATTCTGTTCTTTAATTCATAATATCTCTAAATTGGTAAAGCAAGTATAACTTAAGAAATCATGGGAACATATTTTTCTTATTTGAGGACTATACCATTCAAATGGTAGTGCAGAACTGTGTGTGTCACAGTGAGCCATCTTCTTTCCTGGCCAAGTAAACCCAGAAGCCAGGACTCTACTAACTTCACTAGTGTGGCTTTTGAAGTAGTAGACAAGTACATTTTCCTCTGAACACCAGGAAGCTGGTGGTTGTGCACAGGATTGGGGGATGGCCAGGATTTCTTGCATGGTCTGTTGAACCATGAGAACACCACACGGAGCTATGTGGAGACCCCTGTTGCTTTTGTGCTGCTCCTCCCTCCCCTACCCCACACACCTGCCATGCTATTGAAGGCTGCCTGCCCAACCAACATGCATCCTGATTCTCTGAGTGAAAACCACAGAGCACTAGCTACAGCTGCTCAAAGGGGCAATGCAATATCTTTCACAAACTACAACATACATTGTGTGGAGAACATGTTACAAAGTGTGGCTTATCCCAACTCATACCCAATCCCTGTTGGTCGCTGAGCCACACATTGCTGAGGCTCTGTATAGAGAGCTACTGAGAGGAAATATACTCTTATGACTCAATGCTGGAGAACACACAGTGTAGGTGCCTTTGGCCCTCCATGCACTCTCCAAATTAGGGCCTTCCTGTTCTCTTATGCATTGTGTGAGGGACTGGGGAAGTAGAAAAAGGAATCCCAAACTTACATAGTCACCACTCTAATTACTACTTCATCATTTTGAGATGCCATGAGAATCGAGTGTGTAATACACAGCCAAATTCTATTACACTATTAGCAGCTGTGCAACAAAGTCTCTCTGTCTTGCTCTCCTCTCCTTCACCTGCCATCCTGTTGAGAGAGAGAAACCCTATTCTGAAAGCTGCTAGCTCACAGTGTTTTCCAACCTCAAATAAATATGGAAATAAAGGTACTGCCAATTGGTAAAAATGTATTAGACACCATTAGAGAAGGAGTGTCATTAATAATTAACTTGAAGTACATTCATTGTAACCGATGTCGTCTTTTCTAACCAGTATAATGTTAGCTTGGTCCATCTATCCAAATCTATTTTAAAATTGTTCTAGCTATAGGCAAGTCATTAAATTTGTATAGTTTCCTGGAATGTGGGAGTATTTGAGTGTTCTGTGTCCACCTACATTTATAGTTCCCTTACATATTTTTCAGATGCTCATTTGTGAATTCTCTGATTTTTTATATATCCCAAAATTTTAATTTTTAAAAACACATTAGGACTTTATATTGGAAGGTCCCTTAAAAATTAACAGGCCTAAACAGTCTGAAATTTTTTTATATGGAGATATAACTATCTCAAAGAACTGGAAGGGACCCTGAAAGATCATTAAGTCCAGCCCCCTGCCTTCACTAGCAGGACCAACTACTGATTTTGCCCCAGATTCCTAAGTGGCTCCCTTGAGGATTGAACTCATAACCCTGGGTTTAGCAAGCCAATGCTCAAACCACTGAGCTATCCTTCCCCCCCTCTTGGTCTGCACTACCAACTTACATGAATTTTCCAAACCCCTGAGTGACAGTTATATGGACCGAACCCCCAGTGCTATGTTGACAGGAGGGATTCTCCCTTCAGCACAGCTACCACCTCTCGAGGAGGCGAAGGCTCTACACCGAAGTTCTCCCATCAGCTTAGGTAGCATCACCACTCAGTGCTGCCGCTGCAGCACTATAAGTGTAGACAAGCCCTCAGTGTAGCATCATCTGAGCACAAAGACTAATTTCTGCTAACCACCACTTTTGTATGCAGTTCCCGCTTTTTTAATCTTTGTTAAAAACACCACAATGAAAACAAAGAGGGGAGATACTATGCATCCTTAAGACTCTTAAGAGTCTGATTCCTAGGCTGCATGACTCACCTGCAACTTCCACTGACTTCCTAAGGAGCTGGAGTTCACTGTTATTTTATTATTTCATTTTATTAACTTGTACAAGAATAAGTAAGATGTTATATCAGGAATTAAGGATGGCGCTCTTTAATTATTTTCTAGTTTGCTGAGAAAAGCATTTAAAAGAAAAACACTTGTAATGAATCCCACTCCTTCCTGAACATTTCAGGTTTTTTCCAGTGAACAGGAATAACACCCTTTTAAATTTTCAACATAAAAATGTATATAAAATATTAATAATTACCAAGAAAAATTAATTTTAGCCTCCAGAGACTGTCACTCTAAATAATTAAGGATTAACAGTAACCTTTAAGGCACCCACAATATTTACAAAGACTTATGATACAATGAATTTGTCACTTAAAAGCAAATAAACCCTGATTTGTGCAAGACTTTATATAAATGCAGTGATAACTGATTTGTAAAGACTAGTATATGAATTAAATTAGAAACCCTAGTTAAGCAGAGATTAACTGCAATGCTGAAGGAATGACTACCTAGCCCGTTATGTTAACAAAGGAAAGAATTTTCCAGGAGGAAATGTAAGTAGTACGCTAGCCTGCTGGAATATAATGTTAAGGTGTAATTGTGTACTCTACCACTGCCTTTTCACTATCATTTTAGTATGAATGAAAAGGTTAAATTTTCATAATGCAGAGATGTCACTTATGGTAATCTGAAATCAAACACAGAGTTAAATTAACAGTTACAGAACAATGTTGAACTCCATTCACCTCAGGAGGATGATTGTACAAATGTAGGAATGGCTCCTTCACACATCAGATGAAAATGAGAGAAAATGGTAAATGAAACAAGTAGCAGTATGGCTGCAGCAAGTATTTTTACCCACC